TCCATGAAGATATTTTGTAAATTTCCTACCGTAAATATATCAAAACTTAATTTTTGATTAGTAATATGCATTGCTAAGTACTTCATTTGGACAACTTTAAAGGCTATTTTCTCAATATTTTGATTTTTTTGCACCCTCAGATTCCAGATATTCAGATATTCAAATAGTTGTATCTTGGTCAAATATTGTCCTATCCTAACAAACCATACATCAATGGAAAGCTTATTTATTCAGCTTTCGGATGATGTATAAATCTCAATTTTGAAAAATTGACACTTAAGACTGGTTTTTATGGTCCAGGGTCACATATGCAAACATAAATTTGGCATTAATTAGACTAAATGTTTTAATAGCAGGCAATTTGCCATATTAATTGCAATTTCATTTGTGATCAGACTTTCAAAAGCTGTAGCCAGTTGTCTAACAAAGCAGTAACATCAGGACTATGACCAACAATATAATCTCTTGATAACCTGAAGCAATGAAAAAACTGTAAATGCCCGGTATTTGAGGGTAGATGCTATATTTATATGTGCATCTTAGGATCACATCTCATTTTCACAACGTATGTTTTCCTTTCCTTTCTAAAAAAGTTTTTTTTAGAAACTTTTGGGAAAATGTATTTTTACTGTTTCAGAAACGGTCAGCATCTAATTAAATGTGTTTAGTTTCATTAACAGATCTTGAACTTGATATGGCTGGAACACAATCCTAAAATACTCTGACAGCACCACAGCTAAAGATGTGATGTTTTAACTGAGATGGGGAATGGTCTGAAATGAACATGATGAGAGAGAAAGCCTGGGCGTCAGGAAATAATACAAACCCAATACATCAGTATGTGTAATCTAATGGCAAATTGACTCCTGTGAGCTGCTTTTCAAACGAATGAGTTAAAAAGACTTACAGATCTGTCTCAAACTAATGAGTCAGTAGGTTTGATTCGATCTGAAGAGATGCTTCCTCAAATCGTTAAGGAAATGTAATCATTAAAGTTAATTAAATTCCTTACCATTCTCATCACTTATACTCAACAAAACTATTGAGCACTGTTCCTCACATGCCTTTCTTTCACATCTATTAAATGTGGAGTCTACCCTGACCTGCTAGAGTCTACTGAAATATTCACTGAATTACTGAAATACTGTAATATTAGTGGGAGTCATTAGTGTCTGATTTCATCTTTTGTGTGTGTTGCAGTCCTTTGTGAAGGACTACATGATCTCCATCACCAGACTGCTGCTAGGTCTCGACTCCATGCCTGGATCTGGCTTCCTGTGTGCTGTGAGTGCAATCACTCAATCCATAATGAGACTGTATCTGGACTATTATGCCCATAATGATGGCGGTCATAATGAAATTGAGGACATTGATGATGATATTGCTGTGATATTCCTTCTAGATGAAGATCACAGAGGAGGATTTGTGGATCCGCAGTTATGGTCGTCTCTACCAGAAGCTGTGCTCGTCGACAGGAGACATTCCCATCGGCATCTACCGCACTGAAGCGCATAAACTGCCCGTCTCAGAGGTACCTGCTTGTGCATCTTTCTTTCATTTTTTGTTATAGCGTTTCGGTGGAGGAATGAGACCATCGTGTGGCTTGACTCAGTCTCAGGTGTCCATCACGGTGGAGGACTACGAGGATACACGCGAACCCCGCGAGCCTCTGCTCTGCCGCTCCGGTCTTCACCGTAACTCCACGTCGTCCGAGCCTCCCTCCTCATCATCACACGCCATGGACCACCCGCTCCTGAGGAGGAAGAGCATGCAGTGGGCGCGGCGGTTGAGTCGTAAAGGTGGGCGGGGCTCCAGCGGGGCCAAGGGAGTGGGGAGTGCCGCCGAGCGCATCAGCCAGCAGAGACTGAACCTGTTCCGCCGCTCCGAGAGACAGGAGCTCAACGCTTTGGTCCGCACACGCATGAAACATCTGGGGCTCTCGCCATCTGGATTTAGTGAGTGTGCACACCGCTGGGTGATCCACTGTAGCTAAAAATACCGTTTATTACGTTTATTAAAGCAATAAGCCCCAAGAAGCCGTGGTTTACAGTGCATTTATAACAGCTAATTAGTCACGATAGAACACCAGTTAGGTTTCACAAAATAAAACAGAGCAAATAAAGTGTAATGATATTAATAAAAACAGTATTCTTCCACCAAATAATGTAGTTCCTCAGAAACAGTTGTGGTTCCAACAAAGTGGTTGCCAAGCAACACACAAAGTAAACAAAGGTGTGTGTTTGTAGAGTAATTTACAACAGCTTCGAAAGTGGCTCAGCCAATCAGAATCAAGGACCGGAACTATCCGTTTTATAAATTTCTTTTAGAAACAGTAAAATATAACAAAAAGCAACTGTGCAAATTTAGAACCCACTCCAAATCCCACCCCTGGTAGACTTCAAAAAATAAAATTAGTGCTGTCAAACTTCGCGATGAATCGCATCCAAAATAAAAGTTTTTGTTTACATAATATATGTGTGTGTACTGTGTATATTTATTATGTATATATAAATACACACGCATGCATGTTTAAGAAAAATATGTTATGTTTATATATTAAATATATTTATATATAATATAAAATATAAGAATATAAATATATAAATGTATATACATGTTAATATTTTCCAAATATATACTCTGTGTGTGTATTTATATATACATAATAAATATACACAGTACACATGCATATATTATGTAAACAACAAACTTTTATTTTGGATGTGATTAATCGCGATTAATCGTTTGACAGCACTAAATAAAATACAGTGTAGACCTTAAAAAAAAAGAATAAATAAATAAATGGTTTTTCTTTTACAATGATTTTTTTTTTTTTTTAAGATGACACCATTAAAAGCAGAATGCCATAAATTTACAATTTTCACATTAGATCCCTGTATACGAGAAGTTGAGAATTCCATCATTATAATGTCCAAAAAATACACAGTCCAGGTAGACATTTTGATGCTCTCCTGAGCGCAAACTCGCACTGGAGCAATTGCCAAATCTGTTTCGCCAAAACCCTATTTTTACAGCTTCAACTGAGGGTGCTCTCGCTCGCTTTCGTTAGAGGGTGCTCAACACACTCTCAGCCCCGCAGAACTGGTCCTGGCCCTCGAAATTAGACCACTGATCTATATACATTAGGGATGTGCATCTCATGACTGAGGCCGATACGATACGCATCTCGATGCATAGCCAACAATACGATACATTAAAGATACATATGAAGCAGCTACCGATGCGATGCGATACGATTCACCCCTGTTACGGTGCAGTGCGATCCGATTTCGATTCGATTCGATTCAACACAATGCGATTCGATGCAATATGATGCATTGGAAAAAAATATGATCACTCCTAATGCCTCGAGGACTGTTTCATAAAACAAGTTTACCAACTAAGACTGGCTTATTTCAGGTAGTCTGACTTATTGTCAAATGATCTTGTTCCATAAAGCAAATTTAACATAGGCCTAGATCAAGCTAGTCACTGTGGCAACTTATGCTGGGAAACTAATCTGGTCTAAAGCAGGTTAACTGTCAGACTAAGCTAAACTCCTCTAACACTGACCAATAGGAACGTAATGATATTACCGCATTAAAATAACTAAATTAAAAGTTAAAATCACTGAATTAAAATTTTAAATAAATAATAAAGAAAATGACTATATTTTAACTGCTATAAGAAACACACATTAACTCATTTGAGCTTAGTAATTACTGTGTCTAGCTTACATTTGATTTACCCATTACAATAGTCCCTTTACAGTTACTGCTATCATAAAAATACACTTTATATGTAGAGTTAAAATTCTACAAAAGACACATTTAATGTCCAACAACAAATATTTTAGCAAATTGTATATTTTAATTATTGCGCTTCTATTCGATTGCGCTCCGTCTGTTTAGTGCGCATGCGCACAGCTGCGCTCGTTCACTCGCGTAAGCCTCGCCCACTCCTGACAGCAAAATTGATATGTTTGCATGACTTTCTGACATTTACAGATGAAAAATATACCTGTGACATGTCAGTTATGCTGATGAGAGAGCGCGCTTGAGAAACAGTTTAGAGAGGAGAAATCAATCTACATATAGTTTTTCCTCGGGTCTCCGTGGTGTTGTGATGCGTCATATTCACAAAGCAGCGGTGAAGAGAGCACGCGCTTGAGTAACAGTTTAGAGAGGAGAAATCAATCTACATATAAAATATTGGTCACAGATTATTGGTCACTTTCTAAATAATAAAAGTATAGCGCATCCACTAGTAATTATATATAAATAAATCGTTTTTTTAGCGATGCAAATGCATCAGAAACAATGCATCGCGATACAAATGCCAACTTGTATCCGATGCACACTTTTTAAACCGATGCATCGCATCGTTAACGTTTTATGCCAATGCACCAAGCGAATCAGGGAATCTTCCCATCCCTAATATACATGCAAATGTTCTGTAGATCAGTAAATGACACACAGCTTATTTGTGACCCTGGAGCACAAAGCCAGTCATAAGTAGCACGGGGTATATTTGTAGCAATAGCCAACAATACATTGCATGGGTCAAAATTATCGATTTTTTATGCCAAAAATCCTTAGGATATTAAAGATCATATTACATGAAGATATTTTGTAAATTTCATACCGTAAATATATAAAAACTTAATTTTTGATTAGTAATATGAAAACTTCATTTGGACAACTTTAAAGGCGATTTTCTCAATATTTAGATTTTTTTGCACCCTCAGATTCCAGATTTTCAAATAGTTGTATCTCGGCCAAATATTGTCTTATCCTAACAAACCATACATCAATGGAGAGCTTATTTATTCGGATTTCAGATTATGCATGAATCTCAATTTCAAAAATGGACCCTTATGACTGGTTTTGTGGTGCAGGCCAGGGTCACATTTCTGAGCCCGTGTTGCTGTGAAGACGGCTGTTGTCCAGCAGGGGGCGGTGTGATGATGCTCAGCTGTCGGCGGAGCGCCGTTCATCAGCAGCAGAAGAAATCACCGGGAAACTGCGCTCTCACGCTTTCAGCGCGGTACATAGAGAATTAAACATCACTGACAGGTGAAACCCGTTTTAAACATCTCACCATGCATTGTTGTTGTTATAATCTACTCAGATAAAGCATTAGCTTTGTTTAAACCTGCTGGTCCTGATGTTAATGCCATATTGTGTCTTGCGTTCGTAACATCCGAAGTGACAGAAACAGTTCATTGATTCATGTATTTTATGTATTCACATTTTGTGTGTGTTTTTATGTATATAATTCTCAAGGATCGATCGTCATGTCCCAGAAGAAGAGAGCGGTTTCAGCTTCACAGAGCAAAACTCAGAGAGTAAGAAAAACCACACACAAACAAACGTCCTCCTTACAGATGTACTGGTTTTAAAGTTATTAATGTTGAAACTATGTGATTAAGTGATTTTAAAACTTTTAAAAGTGTACACGTTCACATTTGAACCGATGTATAATGGCAGTATATGATAATCTATGTAGAAAAATAACGTTAAGTGGAAACCAATATTTCAATTCAAGATGGTGTTTTCAAAGTGTTGATCTTACATTCAAATAGTTTCATTCAATACATGCAATAGTATTTATACAAAAGCTCTGTAAAATAATCAAAGAAAAAGAAATGTTTTGTTAATAAGATATCAGACTTGAACAAAGATATTAACAACACAGTGTTAGTGATATTGTGAGTTTGATTGTTTTGTTTGTGTTGTGTGTGTGTGTGCATGTGTTTGTGTGTGTGCATTGTTTGTGTGCATATGTTGTGCGTGTTGTGTGTGTGTGTGCATGTGTTTGTGTGTGTGCGTTGTTTGTGTGCATATGTTGTGCGTGTTGTGTGTGTGTGGTGTGTGTGTGTGTGTTTTGTGTGCATGTGTGTGTGTTTGGCATGTGTTGTGTGTGTGTGTGTGGTGTGTGTTGTTTGTGTGCATATGTTGTGACGGTCAACAAGCTGCGAACGAGGCGATTACAGTCTATTTTGCCGTCCACTTTCCCGCGTTTCGCACACGACGCTGCGGTTATCAGCACTTCTAAAGGTTAACACGTCAGCGTCACAGCTTCCCTTAAACGCCAGTAATGGCTTTTATTCAAGGTGAATTTTCCCTCCGAAATCCTGAATGGCAAATTTAAATGCAAATTCAACGTCAGTACCCAAAAGACCTCTAAATATTCTTAAAACCTGCTGAAAAGCAGTGCATATTCTCTTCCCGCGAGCGTGTTATCGAATGGCCTTTGTCACGGCTGAGGACACTTTCTGCTGATGGAATAAAAAAACGCCTTTCACAGATTGAAATGAGCCGCGGTTGGCCGTGATCGGTATTGGAGAAGCGTTTTGTGCTAGAAAAGAGTGTTAAATACGAGGCAATCACTACGTCAAGCACAAAGATGTGTTGTGTGTGTGTGTGTGTGTGTGTGGACTGCAGCGCTCTCAGGTATCTCTGGATGAGGATGACGAGGCTGCTAATTTTAGCCAGATAACCTCATCTCAGGTCCAGCGAGCCCGAGAGAACTTCACGCCTGACCAGATCGACCGCAAGGTACCTGTCAATCATTTGTGACATTCAGTTCTGTTGTCATAAGCTCTGTGTGTGAAAGCGTTGTCTGGTAGCAGATGCATGGGGTACTTGAGTAGTTTAACAGAGTTTGAATAACACTGAACATCCTAAATGCAAACATTTTGGTTGGTAAAATTGTTCGTCACTTACCCAAACAAACACACAAAAGTTAGCCTTATGTTTATCTATAAGTTAGTGTGTTGTGTTCCAGAACAGTGACAGTTTACTCAGCCCCAAACCATTCAAGATCTCTCTTCAGCTGATTACTTTCTTCCAGGACTTTTCTCTTTTAATGCAGTAATAGGGGCTCAGCGTAGACCATTTTTACATTTTTAAATAAAGTCATGTACATCTTGGATGACCTTGGGGTTAGTACATTTTTATTTTTGGGAGGACTGTTTCTTTATGAGCACAAGCAAATTATAAACTTTCTTGACGATGATACTCCATACTAATAAATGGAGCGGTGGGGGGACACTGGCCGCACTCCTGAGGGTCTTTCACACTTTCTAACTCTCAGTAATTTTTGTCTTTTCTCTGTATGTACACTAGACACTTTTATAAACACTCCATTCTACAAAGACTCAATATGATAATATATGTTTACTTGTGCATTGCACTGCAAATCATCTTGCACTCTGCGCTGCTTCCCCTAAAATATCTCTTTTGCACATTTTCTTGTGCAGTATTTATGTAAAGTTCTTGTACAGTCTCAGATTATGTGAATGTATAGTCAACTGTTTATAGTGTATGTATAGTCAGATGGTCAACTGTTTGTATAGGTTTATAATTGTATTTCTTATACTTCTATTGTTGTATGTTTATATTTATGTTTAACCCTCATGTTGTGTTCTGGACATTTTGACCCAGAGAGAAATTTCTTTCTCCCGAAAATGTTACTTAATGTTATCCAATCGGACTAAGATTTACTGACTTTGTTCACACTGGGCATAACTACTTCCACCGCAAAAATTGTTAATTTACGTAAAACATTTTTTATTTTATTTAACCTTGTTACAAAAAATAGCTTATAAATCTCGTTATGCAATATTATCACCTAATATTGGTATCAATCTTTTTGTCAGCTTGTTTTCTTTCAATTAGGACTGGTTTTGTGTTTGTTTATGGAACTAATTTTTGTAGGCCTCATTAATCTGAGTTTACGTACATCAGTTTTTGAGTGAAAAAAACTTGTAAAAATTGTGGATAATTTTGTCAATATTAAATAAAATATGAAAAAAAATTGCACTGTTTTTCACACTAGCATGCTCTAATGTTTAACCAAGAATTTGTTTTGAAAAGCTTTTATTTTTTGCAAAATTGCAAAAAAAATCACCCTTGTGGTGTTCCCGGTCAAAAATGACTGGCCTACAACAAATAGCTTATAAATCTCTTATGCTGCTATATTATCATCAAATATTGGTATCAATCTTTTTGTCTAATCTGCACTGACTACACCTACTTCTTCTTCTTTGGTTGGTTTTACATTGGGTTTTTAACTGCTTTGTTCTGCTTTTATGCCAAGGTGGCAGAGGTGGTCCAGTTCATCTTAATTAAAGACCAAAAAAAAATACCCATTCGAAGAGCAGGTTTGTCTTCTATGGTCAATGAATTACTCTTCATTAGATCCCCACTGCTTTATAGCTAAATCATTATTCATAATAGAAAATTATATTTATATTGTACAAATTTATTTAATACATTGTTTGTGTTCACTCTCTTTTGACTGATTTCTGCAGATATTGGCAAACATGTGATAAAGGAATACAAAGCCATCTATACAGAAATCATGAACAGAGTTTGCCGCAAATTTGATCAGGTACAACAGATGGAGCATACGGTGACTAAACTGCCTTTTATAGATGTGAATTTGAACAGAGGTGAACTTCTGTGTTTGATGCAGGTGTTTGGATTAAAGCTGGTGGAGATTGACCCCAAAAGTCACATTTATATCCTGATTAATAAGCTGGAGCCCATTCATGGAGAGCCAGTGAGCATGTAAGTAACACACAAGATCTGTGATACCTTTGTTTTTCAGTGTTAGTTAAGACTTCATGTGCTTCTGCAGTAATTCAGTACTTTATTTTGTCCATTCTGGGTTTGTTTAACAGCGGTGTGCTGTTAAGAGGTTGTTTCTCTATTGCTTATGCCTGTTTTGTATAAATTACATGTGCATGTTCATTTTTGTTGAATGGGACAATTCTTGAACGAATTCTCAGCAGATCTTATCTCTTAAGCTGTCCGTTGCCATGAAATGGAGATAATAGACCGACTACCTGACTAACTTTGGGCTGAAACATGAATCAGAGATTGTTTTTGTGTGATTCACGCACACACACCTGCACTAGTTTTGCTGTCTGTTTCTTCTGTCCACACAGGCGTCCTGGAAACCCAAAGACAGGCCTGCTGTTTGTCATTCTGAGTGTCATCTTCATGAAGGGCGGTGTCATTAAAGAGAGTGAGTGGTGCGCCATTCACACAGTCATGTTACGCCGTTACTGATCAGTTTCTGTGGGTGGTTTGTTATTAATGCGTTGTCCATGAATGCTGTAGATCTGGTGTGGAATACACTAAAGAAGCTGCGGGTGGATCCAGGGTTTGTGCACTAGATCCTTTTGAAAAACTAAATTTACGTTTTTGTTGTTTTCGGGGGGTTTTTCACTTCTGATACCTCTGTCTTCTCACAGGGAAAAGCATGACGAGTTTGGTGATGTAAAGAAGGTGGTCACAGATGAGTTTGTACGGCAGAAGTAAGTGAAAGTGGCTTTCAGAATGGGCTTTGCAAAAAATCGAATGCGATTTTCATGCTCATCTCGTCAGTAAAGCCGGTTCTGTGATTAGTAGTAAATCTCCAGCACGTGCTTTCAGATGGAGCGGCATTTATTAGAGTCGTAGATCACTGACAAGCTACGCAAAATCGCGTTCATAATTGCAGGCGATTCATTGCCAATTATGAACACGATTTTACGTCATCTGGAAGCACGTGCTGGAGATTTACTACTAATCACAGAACCGGCTTTACTGACGAGATGAGCATGAAAATCGCATTCGATTTTTTTGCACAGCCCTACTTTCAGAAACAAAATGATTGGCTTTCTATAACCAGTGCAGTGTAGCATCTGCTATTTGATCCATGCCCTGACTTTGAATACTCACTAATGTTTTACGCTGTGTTAGATTAGGCTGTAAGAACATGATACACTCAGAGGTTGTGGGTTTGAGTCCCAGCAGATTTGGTGTGTTCAGAGCTGCTGTTCTTTAGACCATGGACAGGTGGTTTATATCACACCATAGACAATGAAGGGGTCTAGGGAATGAAGACAGAAAGATTCATGTCCTTCATCAAATGACTCCTGACATGCTTCTTGGACCACTGAACCTTTTTTTTTTTTCATGATTTCATTTTGTTTTTCATATGTCTGATTTAGATATTTAGAGTATGTGAAGATCCCTCACACAGAGCCGGTGGAGTATGAGTTTCGCTGGGGTCTGCGGGCAGAGAAGGAGGTGTCCAAACTCAAGCTACTGGAGTTTGTTGGAGAGGTTTGTGCATTTTTGTTTCTGTTGCATTCACCAATACAATTAACCAACCTTTCAGTTACAGTCATTACAAATGTAATGAAATGTGCATTGATCAATCTTTGATTACAAATCTACACATCACACCCACCCTTGATTAATATACTAAGAATCCAGCTATTTTCTAGCCTGTTCTTACCTTTTGAAAGTCTGTAGTCTCTTCTTTTATGTGCACATTTGATAAATACAAGCAAAACAGAGATATCATGTTCATAATATAGCCACAAGTAGCAATTATCTGGGTCTAAACACAAACGACTCATGCAGCGGCTCTTTTCAAATATAATATGAGTCTTTAAGGCTGCTACTGCAGGAAAATGTGGCCCAAATCTGATCAGGTAGGAGTTTTTTTCATGACAGTGTAGGGCTGGACGATATGGCCAAAATTTATATCATAATATTTTTCTTAATTTCGGTCGATATGATATAATTCCAATATCGATATGAACACTATTAAAAAAAGCCTCATAAAAACTGCCAAGAACACACACAACAGATGTCTGTACCTACAAACCTATGAAAATTTTATTTTCAAAGTCTATGAAACTTCCTCCTATAAAACTATATAATATTTTAGAAAAAAAAACAGAACAAATAAATTAATGTTCACCTTTTATTTGTATTTAGCCTTCATACAAAAAAAGAAATGTGAAATCTCTGTCAAATAATCATCTCCTTATTAATATTAATATATTTAACTTCAAACTACAGGCTAACATAGTCAAAAGTTTTTGAACAGTAAGATTTTTAATGTTTTTAAAAAAAAATTATCTTCTGCTTGCCAAGCCTGCATTTATTTGATCCAAAATACAGCAAAAACGGTAACATTTTGAAATATTTTCACTATTTAAAATAACTTTTCTATTAAAAAATATTTTAAAATGTATTTCAAAGCTGAATTTTTAGCATCATTACTCCAGTCACATGATCCTTCAGAAATAATTCTAATATTCTGATTTGCTGCTCAAAAAAACATTTATTATTATTATTATTATTATTATTATGTTGAAAACAGCAGAGTAGCATTTTTCAGGTTTCTTTGATGAATAGAAATTTCAGAAGAACAGCTTTTATCTGAAATAGAAATATTTTTTTAACATTATAAATGTCTTTATCATCCCTTTTGATCAATTCAAAGGGGTCAGCGAATGCGACATGCACTTTTTTCCAAGTTGTTTGAACTTAAATGTGTGTTGGCAGTGTGTGTAGACAACCACCCTATAATGATAAAAATCCACCCAGTGGTTTTTTTGTTAATCTACTAAAATCTTAACCCCTTTCTCAAATGGAGCCGATCTCAGATGCCTGTCTGTGTGACATCACAAAAACAGGCCCCTCCCACGATAGTTTGATTGACAGTAGCGTTTCAGCACAGACTGGACTGGTGTCTTACCTTAGCTCCGCCCTGAGTCAGCTGTCATCAGTCTGCCATTGTTTCACCGCCGGAGCAGATGTAGACAAGAATGACTCCTAAGCTCATTTACTCCCGACATCTGAGCCGCTGAAGATGCAGTGGATTACATTTGTTTCTGAAGAGAATACGCCCCTGATATGCCTAAATGCGTTTATGTTCGCGCAAATCATTCGAGATCCAGCTTCACCTACAGAAGAAGTAAGAGTAAGATTCTTTTATGAATCTTTGCAAATCACCTTTCCTAATAACGTGCTAGTTAGCAAGTACTGCGGCTAAAGTAGACAGTCTCATGAGAACGGCTCGTCACCCCACGGAAGAGAGGGGCGGAGTCAGCAGAGCTCATTTGCATTTAAAGGAACATGGACTAAAACAGCTTGCTGTAAACAGAGCTGATTTTGATGGTAAAAAGGGTGTTGTTTTACACTACCATTGAGAAATTTCAACCAAAGTATGTTATAGACTTTTCATTAAAGGGGTCATATGATGCGATTTCAATTTTTCCTTTCTCTTTGAAGTGTTACAAGCTCTTAGATCTGTAAAGTTGCAAAGACTAAAGTCTCAAATCCAAAGAGATATTCTTTATAAATTTGAGTCAACCACACCTACCTAAAACGACTCGTTCTAACACGTGCCCACATGTCTACGTCACGATGTGGGAAGATTTGCATAACGCCACCCAAATGTTCACGCAAAGAAAGAAGGCGTAACTTTTATTCTCGCTGTAGTATTGTTGCCGCCGCCGCCATGTCGTGAAGGCGCTGTGTGTTTCGTTATGAAAGCGAAACTACTTTGTTTGGTCTTCCAAAAGAGGACAATATCCGCTTCTTTTGTAACATTATAAATGCCTTTATCATCACTTTTGATCAATTTTAAGTATCCTTGCTAAATAAAAGTATTAATTTCTATAATTTCTTTCCCAAAAAAATAATAAAAATTATACTGAATGGAATAGTGTATAATGTTACAAAAGCTTTTTATTTCAGATAAATGCTGATCTTTGGATCTTTCTATTCATCAAAGAATCCTGAAAAGAAAAATGTACTCAACTGTTTTAAATATTGATAATCAGCAAATCAGCATATTAGAATGATTTCTGAAGGATCATGTGACACTGAAGACTGGAGTAATGATGCTGAAAATTTACCTATGTATGATCACAGGAATAAATTACATTTTAAAATCTATTCAAATAGAAAGCAATTTTAAATAGTAAAAATATTTCAACATTTTACTGTTTTTGCTGTACTTTGGATCAAATAAATGCAGCCTTGGTGAGCAGAAGAGAATTCTTAAAAAAAAAAAAAACCTTTAAAAATCTTACTGTTCAAAAACTTTTGACTGGTAGTGTAGGCTGATTATTCTTATAGATTGAAACAAATGTGTTTCGGCCAGAGAAAAGGGTATGAAAAGTGCTCCGAGTCGCTGCAGAAAACAAAAAATTGAACAACAACAAAAACTGGAAATGTTGCTGGAGACGGGCTTATTTAAAATGCAAACTCATTCTCTGCCAGCAGGAGATGCTTTGAGAGCGGTAGAACTAGCGGTTTCTCCAGTAATGGCTGTAATCACAGCAGCTCCGCTCATGAATGCTACTTTATCAGATCAAATGAAAATGCCATCGAAACTTTTCTGAAGACAGTCCTTTCCCTTCAGAGATACATTCATATAAAACACTCGCACATGTTTTGATTTTGAAACGTGCAGTGCTCATGTTTATTCAACGAACGTCAAACGCCACAAATAAATCAATGTATGGGATGTATATCATGTATATCGAAATATCGGAAATGTGTTTAAAAATCATATCACCGTTATTGAAAAAAATTTACATATTGATATTGAATTATTGTCCAGCCGTATGACAGTGTGAACAGCACAAATCAAATGGAATCTGATCTTTTTGATTATGATTTTCCATATGTGGTCCTAAATCTGATACAGGTCTGATGTTTCGCAAATCAATGTCCAGTGGTGTAATGTAACGAAGTAATAATACTTCGTTACAGTACTTAAGTATTTTTTGGGAGTATCTGTACTTTACTTGAGTTTTTATATTTCAGCCAACTTTTACTTTTACTCCACTACATTTCCTAATTAAAATGTATACTTTTACTCCGATACATTTCCCCGAAGCATATTCGTTACTTACTACAAAATAGTCAGAAGAACACGGACTGCAGGAAAGCAGGTTTGACGAATCAGTGGTCTGGCGCTTGCAAGTTAGACTCATGCTCATGTAAACAAGTGCACGCACAACCGCGGATGATTCATTTTCCACTCAAGTCGAGTCTGGGGTGTTAGGCATCATCTGCGATAATGTGGTAAGTGTTGTTGTAATGATGTGCAATCTGACATAATCAAGTATATCATCAGATCACACACAGAGTGCACGCACAGGATTTATTAGTCTATTAAAACTCAAAATTCAAGGCATTCTAAATTGTAGACGCAAAAATGCTTCTGTATGCATTTTATATTTATATAATTTAATATAGTTAACTTAATCTATATCACACAAAGAGTACCGTTTTTCTGCAGATATCAGCATGAACACATTTAATAATTTTATACAAGTTCAGTAAAGCAAT